GTCAGCAGGTCGAACACCATCTGTCTGTCACAGCCCTGAGACACAGAGGCACGTTCAGCTCTACTTAAAGTTAAAACCTGTTGGGCCCTAGGCCTATTTTTAGGCCTCTGCTCGAAAATTGCATACCCATGCTAAAGAGAGTGCAGATCTCTAACTACAAGGTCTATTTGAATAATTCTGATGTTATAATAGTGATAACACTTGTGAGATTTGTTCAGATGTGTAAATATCAGTGTATATGTTACTGGTTAATACTAAATGAAGATGGAACACAGCTCAAATTGATAATTTTCAGGTTCACCTGAAAAAAAAGCACTTGTTATTGATATTATTTATTTGAAATAATGCAGATCCAAGCCTAAAAACATGTCTTAAGTCTCCACAAACTAATTTTACTTCGATTGAGTGAAGCAGGCCAAAGTTATAGAGGTTTGAGTACGGAGAGGTCAGGCAGGGTCAAGCCAAATTCTCATTTTTGGAACCAGCTGTTGCGCTGTTCTATTCTAATTTTATATACTATATAACTATATATTTCACTTGTTTTATCACTAATAGTGTTCAATACATCATAATACAGCAGTTTGGCATCATTTTGAGCCATTATGAGCTCTCTGGGGGTGCTCATATCTCTCCATGGAATGTTCTCGTCTCTGTCTGTGTCTATGGGGCCCTTTTTAAGCCTATGATTGGCGGATTTCAGCCTGTGACACCTTGTTGGACCCGGAAGAATCTCAGGAATGCAGTAGGAGTGTTCTTGAGTAGATTGACATACCTTTTAGCCACTAAAAATCCAAAACATTTTGTTTCACATTAAACGATTTATCTTCTGACCTGAAACAAGGCCACTTTGCTGACGATGGTATAGTTGACGTCCACGGCCATGTCCAGTCTCATCTTAGCGGGAAGCTGCACCAACAGCTCCTGTTCATCTGAAAACATCACAATGCTCTGAGTGTACCTGAACACGAGACATTCAGGGACAAAGTTTACTTCTGTATCTTCAAGTGTCTGCAGATAAAACCATCATTCTAGAACTGCAGCACTCCAAACCCTAACCCTACTTTCAGGCTCCTTCACTTGAGTATTTAAATGTAATGTTAATTCATACTTTTACTCCACTACATTTATTTGACAGCTGCAGTTACTGGTTACTTTGTCAATAAAGATTTCACAGACAAAACGTGACTAGCTTATAAAATATGTTGATATTTTAATTACTGAGCTACACAAAAAACAAACACAAAGAAATATAATAAAGCCAAATCTCAACCAGCTGCAACATTAAAATACTGTTTACCTGAATATTACTAATATTTCAGTAACACATTACAATAAGTACTTTGGATATGATACTGGTGATTGATACTTGTGCTGTGTGTGGGCGGATAGAAAAAATATTAACTACATATTCTGAAAAACTCCAATGATATTAAATCCATGATAATTAAAGTAATATAATTAATTAAAGCTGCGAGCAGAATTGATCGGGCCCTCGCAACTTCACGCACGTCGAGGGTACGAGCAGGACTCTGGCCATGCATTTCTGTGACCGTCATACACTGCATGCACGAGTTAAACGGTATTTCCCGGTACTGGCAGGACTCTGTGTGACGCGGCCGTGTATTTCTGTGACCATCACACTCTGCGTGCACGAGTGAGATGATATTTCCTGCGTCGACCAGCAGCGTAGCAAGATCACATTGCCAGGTCTTAAGCCTCAAATGTTTTGAGTGTACATCCGATACAATCATAAATGGAAGCCTGTTAAGATCATCAAGAAAATGAATGTGTGTGAATGTGCTTCAGTGTTTGTAACATAACAGACTGTCAGTTTACTGGGATGGGGTTCAACTCCCTGCAGTGTCCTGCTGATTGTATTTAGACTTACATGAAAGTTAACAAAACAGTAGTGCCATTTGCTGTTACTTGAACACTTTAATTTAACACTGTTTTCATTTTAAGTTCTTCTGTAACTTTAGACTGTAGTGAAGCATTCATTGTGAAGATGAAGAAGCTCTGGACAGATCATTTATACTAATGCCCACGGACATGGTTTGAAAATCCACTGTTATCTAACTTTTGCTCTCCAAGCATCTTAGTTTGCACATATTTAGATCAGAGAAGTCTTTCTCATGGTGTGCCCACAAACCCTTTCAATAAGTTCAGTGTTTGGGCCGCTGTAATTAGAGAATCCTGCTTACGTCCATGCTTATCAGTAGGTGGCGCTATGACTATGAGTTAATATTGGCATGCAGAAGTCCTAAAGCCATGACAGTCAACAAGCATGTCAAGTTTCGGACAGTTTTGCAAAGTACAGTCGAGTTACAACAGCTTGATGGATGATGGCGAACCATGTAAAATGGCCGTCACACCATATCCACGTCGTTCGATGAAACCTAAAGCTTTCAGTAACTTTTAATCGCTAAGGTCTTTAGATTGTTCTGACCAAATTCTAAGCTGATCGGATTAATTCCCTAGGAGGAGTTCGTAGTACAGCACCTGGAAACAGAAAAAAAACATGAGAAATTCATAATAAATTCAAAATGGCTGACTTCCGGTTGGGTTTAGAGCATGGTCCCAAGAGACTTTATTTTAAGTCCACATGTGATACATGTGCCTACCAAATTTTGTAAATCTATGTGAAACGTACAGCGAGGGCTGCTTCGTTGAAATTTTGTAGGGGG